TTTGACGCTTCAGATCTGTTTTGAACCAGGTAATTGAGAGAGTGATGAATTGAAATGAATAGTTTTTAAATTAGGGTATTTAATAAGTTAAGGGTATAAACACCAAACAGTTTACTTCAACTATTATTGATATAATTTAGATGAGTTTGAATAGCATGGAACTATTCGAGATAGTTGTGGCGTATTGATCAAATTACTTTACTGAATTATTCAAGTATTGAAAATTCAGCTCCTAAAAATCCATTATTCCTTCAGATTTTTTATCCAATTATTAGAAATACAATTAACTATTTGTTACGGTTATAATTAATGCTCAAAATTTTTGTGTTTATGCAATTTTATTTCAATTAATAGAAGATAATAAAATTATTAATAAAAAATTTCTTTTAACTAATTAAAAATAATGTCAATTTATTACGAAAAATTATTTTTTGTTTAATTTAAGAGAAAAAGATAATTTACTAGTCGCTTAGTACTAAAACAAAAAACTTCAGTAATCCCTGTCTATTATTGTTATTATTGTTGTTAAGTTAAAAATAAAGTGTTGAATTGAAGTTAAAGACTATACTTAAGTCGAATAAATTTAGTTATAATTTCTATCGGAAAAAAAATTATAATAATTGTCTATGACGTAAAAATAATAGCATTTATACTTTAAGAACCAACCACTTTTTTTTAATACTTCCTTACAAAAAATATGAGGTATTCTTGAAATATATATATTCCTTCCTAAGAAGAAGCTTATAACTTAACTGCTGTTAACTTAATTGCTGTTAAGTATTACTCCTTTCTAAGCTGCATATAAAAAAAATCGTCTTACTTGAATCGTAAAGTAAGAAAAATTTCTTATTTTTTTTTTTTTTTTTAATAAAACGTTCAATTTTTCTAAAAAATAATTATGAAAATCGAAACATAAATAACATTCTACATTCCGATCAATAAAAAAACTAATAATCATAAACATGATTTTCAATCCACTCACACTCTCTCATAAAACAAAATTTATTTTCCGTATATTAAGCCTATAAAAATGCCAATTTACAAAATGTCACTCGTAAAACACTTTTGCAGGTCACTAGTTCAATAATTGCGATATAATAAAATACCTTATTTCTAATTATCATAAATATTGCAAGAGGATAAATGAATCAAAATAACAACGAATGAAATCGTAAACTTTTAAATCGTTTAATTTAATAATTTTGTTGTTAAACGTTAGAGCATTGCACAATGTATAATATTATCGTAAGAAATTTTTCAAATATGATAAATATCAACTTCATTCTTTTATCGATTGATCGTTAATAATATCATAATAATATAATAATAATAATAATAATAATGATAATAATAATAATATTAATAATAATGGTAATAATAGTAATTATTATTATTATAATGATAATTACAATAAGATGATGTTTGTTTTTTTTTCATTATGTATAAGTGTATACAGTTTTAAATAAAAGCGTCTGCAATATTGCATGATAAAAATTATTTGAATCCAATTAGAGATTGTAAACATGATATACGATTGACATTTGAATTTTATTATTTGATTTATTATTTAAACCTCTTTTTTTTCACAATTGAATTCATATTTTAATGGAGTAGATTTTTATAAATAAAGTTAACGCTTAATTTAATCGAAGGTGATATTGATCTCTGATTGATTTATGTTCCTATTAATTAACGACTTCAGAGCTATGATTGGCGAAGTCAAATAAATTTCAATACAAGTATTTGATACATGTCTTTCAGCAATAAATAATTATAAATAAATAGTAATTAAAACAAACCATGATTGTATTGTTTTGTCCCTTTGTCATTTCATTAAATTTAATTTAATAGTAATAATTAATTAGTTTCTAATCGTCACTTTTAATTTATAATTATGTTTATAAATATCATAATAAAAAAGACGAATAGATCCAAGTCAAAGCCACAATTACGATGGCTTTATTTATAATGAGCAATCAATAAGCTCGTGGATATTAAGTGGTGACTTGAACCTGAGGATCCATCTCAACCATTTTTTATTTTTATTTTAAATTATTAGTTAGCAGTCGCTTTATTTATTCGTTAATTGCAATCGCTTTTGTCGTAGGTGTTTATTGTTATTGTTGTTTGTTTATTGATGTTGCTTAAAATAAGTGGTAGCCTCGAGGCTTACATGATGATACATTTTCCCTTTTCAGCCCAGGGGTTGTTCTTCTTGTCAGGCGCGTGGATCAGTGGATCGCTTTTCTCGTGCTCTTCAACGTATTCTCGCATTCTGTAATTTTAATTGAGTTATTAATAATACTATTTAAATAAGTTAAAAATATTTAAATAATCTTGAGTTATTTCAAAAAAATTAATGGATAAATAATTCTACGGTTGAGTTTAAATTAAAAAGAAAATTTAACTGTGTAAAATAAATTATTTATTCTTAATAAACGTATATTTGTTCGTGTATGAAAAGAGGGTAATTTATTTTTTAATATTTAATTTAGGACTTCAATGATAGAATAACTTTTAGAAAATTTTAATTATAATAACAAGAGACAATAAAAAAAATCAATATCCTCGACTAGAAATTTTTTTTTACTTACAATTAAAATTGCCAAATAAATAAATGAAAAATTAATCAAAAATCTGTATTGATAAATAAATATTTAAACATTTTTAGTATAAAATTTTTTTTTTCAGAATTGTAAATTCAGAAATTCTTAAAAGTGAATAAGATTTTAGAAAATTAAAAAAAAAAATTCTTTCGATTAAATAATAATTAATTTTATCAATTCATAAAGCTCACTTATTAAACTGATTAAAAATTTTATTGTTTTGCCAATAATATTCGAAAGAAATTCCAATAATTGAATCATTAAAAAAATATTCAGCAGACGATATGGAAGAAATAAAAAATAACAATTTTTGTTAATTAAACGTAATTGATACAATTTGCATACATCTAAAATTAAAATTTTTTTTTTACTTTGAAAGTAGCAATATTTATTTCTTACCCACAAAGTGAATAAGTTGTGAGTTTAAAATAAAAATGTTATAAAATCATTAAATTCACAAAAAAGTAGAGCATGTCATCTTAGAATGTCCTTAAATATCTTAATCAATTATCATAAATAAATAATTTATAAATGTTACTTGTATCAATTAGCAGTGACAATAAATAAGAAATAGAAAACCAATTTGGTTCATTTGACATAAATATTGAATTCTGTTCCTTTTTGTGTTCTATGCTGTAGAATAATGAGTTAAAGTGTTAGTGACTGATAATAGAAGATAGAAATGGTAAGATTACAATTTCTAAGATATGGCGAAGAAAAAGAATAAACTAAGATGGTATAGGATAATGGTTGGTGCTTGGTATAAAGGTTAATTCAGGCTTTCACTCTTCTAACGTACATTAACATGTCGTAAGGTAGACAGTATTATAAATTTAAGATTGAAAGTATAAGTATAAAGAGGGATATCATGTGTAGTCTAGTCGCAGGTATTAAATGACTGATACACGACATTGATCTATTATTAACCCATTAAAATGACGCTACATAAATAAAAGGATTTTGAGGTGATACAAAAGATAAAGTAGACATTCTTTGATAAAATTTATCTAAATAATTCATTTTTCGTGTCGAAAAATTTGAATAGAAACTTATATTGACGTATTTTGTCTGTAAGATCCCGTAAATTTCATTAAAAATTACATTTTTCTCAAGTAACCCTCATGAAAATAATTTGTATCAGTAAAGTAGGTACATATTAAAATATCAAACTAAATAAAATATGTATAAAAATATATTTTCAACAGTTAACTTTTGGTTGATTTCCATAAATCTTAACTATGATTGAAGTATATTAAAAATATATTCTAAGTTATTCCTTAGAATAGATAAAAATATAATTATGAAAATATTGTATAGTTTAAAGATATTTTTTTTATATTTTCATACACGTATTTCTCATATATTTTTAATGCATTAAAATTATAAGATTCATAAAATACAGTACCGACGGAAAATTTCCGGACAACCTTCTTGTTTACTTTTCTATTGAAATATGATACATAAACAAATTAACTTGATCTATAAAGAAAATGCTATTTTATTTTACAAAGTGTGTACACTGAAAAAAAAAATTCTTGACTGGAGTGTAAATTTTCTTGGCTCAAGAAAATATTAAGAAAGATTAAAAATTTCTTGAATGAAGTCATAGTTTCTTGAACCAAGAAAATTTTCTTCAGTCAAGAAAATTTCTTCTTGCTCCAAAATAACTTTTGTCTTTAAAATTTTCTTGGCGCAAGAAATTTGTTTTTTTCTGTATACGATCGTGTCATTGACTTTCTTCTTGATTTATTTTATTTTTAATAATTGTTTTAATAAATTTTTATCATGTCCGGAAACTTTCTGTCGGTAGTGTACACAGTAAAAAATTTTGTTAAATATTTAACACTTTTTTGTGTTGATTTAACAGAATAAGTGTTAAATTTACACATAAAAGTGTTAAATATTTAACACTAAGTTTTTTGACGCCATAACGCAAAATCTTTTACTGTGTATGTTCGAAAAAGCCACCAAAAATTAGCTATTGAACCCGTGAATCAACTTTTGTTCAATAAGACTTCTAAATTGATGTAAATATTTCTGCAAAAATTAAAAAATTATAACGAAATATTTTTTCTCATAATTTTTTCACGGGAAAATATTTTTTATCCATATTTTACATATTATTGTATATTAATTATTTTTTTTTAACTCATCATATTTCAATATAAATTTTCTTCATAGGAGACAGTAATTAGTAGGTACTTTACCAACAAGAAGATGAATAAAAAAATAGTAGAATTGATAAAACTAAAAAGAAAGGGATTTAAAACAATGAATAACCCTGAATCAGAAATGCAAAGGCAATAAATCAAATGCAAACATCCATCAGCGAATTAATCCTCCGAAGACACATAGAATGACGTGGACTATCGCGTTAATCAAGAGATTTTCGCCTCAAATCCCACCCATATCTTGTCTTTTCACGACAGCGCATCTCATCCCGGCTGTCGACGATCGGTCTCGGTCTCTATTTCCGACATGACCGGAGCCCGTTAATTTACAGCCCTCTACCTCTACTTCTACTTCTACCTCTACCTCGTTTAGCATAAACCAAGTCCCAATGTTTAGTTTACAATTCATTTTATTCTATTCCATTCCATTCTATTCAACTTCAACTTCTACTACGCCTCCATCTATCTCAACTGCTCCCACATCCACACAAAAGCGGATCGATTCGCTAAAAATAATTTTATTCCATTTTAAAAAAATAATCCCCGTCCCCATCGGATAGAGGCAAAAAGCTAAGCCCCGCTAAATGCGTCACCTTTTAAAACAATCCTTCTATTATTTTCTTTACTCTTTTTTCTATACTAAATACTGTATGCTGTACGGTCATATTAATGAATGTATGTTAAAACACACTCTTTAGTTACTCACACTCAAAGGTATCACACATTTCCATCGGATAAAAATTAAAATTCTGGATGCAGCGCATTGCCTGGCGATCGTTGCATTAAATACCTAGCCCGCCGTAGCACATCCGATGTATGAATACATCAGTTACTGCTTTCAAAACAATTTTGCTGGGCATTCTATCGTGAATAAATTGCGGTATAAAATAAAAGGAGAATATCAACGTCTACAGCTTCTACTGCTGATGCACGTACCCGTCATGCTGAATATTGATTTATCTCGACTTCTATAAGCCTTTTTTTACTCCGGTTTTATGGGGAAAAAAAAAATAATAATAATAAAATATGATTATTTTTATAACAGCTGTTATAAAAATGATATGATATCATTATGAGGCTCATAATGAATATCATAATGAATCTCATATTTTGGCACTAATATGAGATTCATATAAAAGCCATATTAATATATTTGAAACCTGTATTAAGTAAAATACTTATGGAAACGAATTTTTTTAACTAGATTATAAAATTTTTATTTTTCTTGTTGGAGAAAGCAAATTTCCAGTAATTTAAAATTATTATTAAATATAAAATTTGATCCACACGGAT